TAAAAGAAATAATAAAAATTCAATATACTATATATTTTTATTAACTAATATAATGTGAATTAATTTGTTGATTTGTAAATATTTAATTAATATCTTTGATTTTAATATATTATTTTTTAAAAAAATCTATAAACATTTTAAGTAGGTTTTGATTTTTGATTTATTAAAAATTGATGATACAATATGGACTAAGTAATAAAAAAGAATTGTTAACAAAAAATATGCAATAAATAAATATTTCAAGAAAATAAGAAAAAAAGATTAAAATAGAATTATAAATCTTAAAATTTTTAAATATGAAATATTTTACAATTAAATAAAATAAAAAATTTTTATTACACTTATTTTAATCATCATTTTTTGATTTTCAAAAAACCTTTTACAATTAATAATTTTAAGATCGAAAATTTATTTTAGAAATATAAAATTTATTTTAATATATTATTTTAAAATAGTGATTACATAAATTTAGTTTAGAAAAAGGGAATGTATGGAATATCACGAAAATGAATTTTCATTGTAAATATTTTTTTAAAAGGATAATCATGAAAAAACGTACATAGAATATTTCTTTGAATGAATTTTCATCAATCCAAATCAAATGATTTTAATTGGTTGCAAGTAGTGATAATTAATATATTTTTTATTATAACAAGTCTAAAAGTAATTGGTATTACTGTCAGACAATGATAATTTGATAAACTAGGAAACCATTGAAAGTCCGCAGCTAATAACGGTAGTTTATAATAGTTTGATTAATAAATAGGTTAGGTTATATAGATAACAATAATGAAATAATCATGATTATACTGTTTCTGTTTAATTAATGGTTGAAGATTTTACAGAGAGATGAATCTGACATCTTTAATTGAGATTGATATTGACCAGACAGTTATTGTCGATCAGTGACACCGTAAAAAAGGTTGCTTCTTATTTGTTTTTTTTATCGGTCGCGATGTCAAAATAAGCATGGTGATGATGTTCGGAAAAAAGCGTGTGAATAACTGTACAGCGTATTCTCATTTTGTTACTTGCAAAGATCTATAAAAGTGACTGATACAATGTCTAATTAGAGATTTTGCAGATAATAACACAGACCAGATGGGCGAGGATGAGTTAGGAAAGTATGCGTTAGGAAAGAAAATAGATTCGGAATAATGGCAAAGGCGGGTTCACAGGAGTAGCCACTTTACTTGACTTGAATCGCCTCTGATATCAGTGAGGAATTCTTTTCCGCTTCGAGTATTTTTTGATCTCTTGCATGTCGTCTCGAATTTGTAATTTAGCCTAATCGGTGCGGCCTGTAATAGAAAATATTTTTAGATAGCCTTTGGCTCATCATCAGGTGAACACATTACCCCGCACTTTGTGTTTCCAAATCCGGAATAGAGGAAATTTAAAAACCCGGGAAGGTAATTTGGAAGTGCACACATGCACATTATTGTAAGATGACATAGACATATACAATGCCACACTAAAAGTAGGTAATTGACAACAAAGGACTGTTTCCATCAATTATCAGGATCACGAAAGAGGTATAAAAGGGTATCTAGAGCAAATAAAAGAATTACGTCTAACGGTTTTAATGGTATGCAAGGAATGCGAACGAATACATAGCCATTGTCCGTTTTTTGCCAAGTTGCTATATTCAAAGAGTACGCACATACCAAGGTTATCGCTATGCGCGCAGCCGGCGTATCTTGTGTCATTAACCATTTGAGATTTTCTAAATATGTCATGTGTGCGAAATGTTTCTGCTAAATGGGATCTTCTAGGTGCACAAGGATATGTAAACGAACACAAAGATTTTCAGGGTCTCTCCAACAGGGGTATCCTTGTAATGTTTGTAATGTTGACAAATCAAATTCGTACAAGCCATATGTGTGTACCTTCAATTGGCGAAATGATTAAGTTCATTAGCTAATGAGAGCCGGCCAATGGCGAGCAGATGAGGTGAGAATGACGAATTTGGCATTGATATGATATTTAAGCAATCAGATTTGTGTGATGTTTTTCAAAAACCTTGATCAGAGACACAGCCTCTTGGTTTTATCATAATACAAAAGACACATGATCGCTTGTTTGATGATAGGCATGGTATTGGTGGGGTGAGGTTAGTGAGAAACATCAGAGTATAAATGTTTACAGTAGATGATTATAACGCCCAAACAGACGCATGTGCGATAGCTGATCGTGAGAGATAAGGACACCTTAAGGACTATAATGTTCATACAAGCTATTATGTTTATATAATAGAAATCTCGTGAAAACGTATCGAATAAGCCGAATTAACCTTCATTATTCGTACATGTCTATCGGCATAAGGTGTGAGAGTAACTGGTTCGACGGGAAAACCGTTTTAAAAAAAAAAAAAAAAAAAAACGTTCCTCACCATTCTCCAAATGTCTGTCTATCTGCTGTCATCTACACTATGGAGTGACATTCTCCGACGTTTCCATGCATGATTTCTTTCTTCGAATAATTTAATATCCAAGCGTCACCAAAATTGGGTAAAGGAAGATGCAACAAGAGATCCTGGCAAAATCTTCATCTCCGGGAAAATCCACAATGTTTTTTTTTTTCTCTTCCTTTCTTTCTTTCATGTCCTCAAAGATTTTTTTAAACCATTCACGATAATTGGTAGAGGTAGGAAGCATATGCAAAATACCATTGCCCTAAATGGATATCTTAACGTACAATTTTCACATGGAATTTTGAAAAATGCAATTTAACAAACAGAATGCACGAAATTCGAACGTGCTGTATCGATATGTTATTTAAAACTATTAACACTCTGAAAAATCACAATTTTCGGAATTAAATAATGCCTTCGGGGTTTGCTTTTGCTTTGGAAAGTCTGAAATGCATGCCGATACGAATATTGAAAAAAAAAAAAATTCATTGAAGATACTCCTTTTTGGAATCTTGATAGTGCGTAATATTCATTTCATTGGTTCCCGTTTGCTCTAATCTTTCAAATTACCTAGACAAAATGCAATACGTGTAACATGGGCAAGACGTTTGCAATAAAGGTTCCTTCGGATGGGTTAAATCGGTCAAGATTAGTTGGACAAAAACGATTAGGTATTATTTATTCAAAACGTTCAGCCGGGATTGCTACTGTATTCAAAACTGCGTATTAGAAAAAAAAAAAAAAACTGCGGTATGAATTGAATTGGATTGAATTGTATGAATTCTTTATCAAGGTTTATTATTTGTGTGATCACAAAAAAATTTTTAAGATCTTTGTTTATCTTTATCACCTTCCGAATAACTTCACGTCAATTAAATCTTGCGGAATCTCTTCATCGCCTCTCAATACGTTATCTTCAATGTTACATAGATAAACGAAGAAAAAACTTTAGTCCGTGATGCACAACGTTAACTGGACCAAGCCCGTATAGGGACATTTTATTATGTGATGGTACAATTGCTGGAAGAATCACTTTTCTTTGGTGACAGTTGGAAATTGACAGGCGTGCTTTTTTTTTCTTTTTTTTTTTTTTAGTTAGCGTGTGTTTATCTGATAATAATCTTGTTTCATTGTCTTCTTACCGTTACAATATATTATGATCGGCGGAAATTCGGTGTCTTCTTATACAAGGCAATTATCAATTATTTTGGCAAGAAAATTTTCCCAGCTTCCATTAGGGGTGGTTGATCAAGTATTTTATTTTCTTCAAAAACCTTTGTTCCCTAAAAACCAATAGATTCATGGCGACAAAGCGTTACGAGGTGAGATTCTCACGGTGGCTTGCGATCAGGAAATCAATAAGAAACCATCGTGCAATCAAACAAAACATGGAGAATTGTGAAAATTCGCGTTTCGACTACTCAAAAAGATATTACCTAATAATTTTTTCTCAAAGGCACTCGAAAAAAACCGGCTTTTTGTTTATGGCACAATTGTACAAAAGATGGGGGTCAAAACGTGGAGATATTAGCCTTTAATGTTTTTTTTTTTAAAATGTTTTATGTGAATTTTTTTTCTTTTTGTAAAGAAAACTTTTTACCAGTGGACAGAAATAAATTTCCAAAAAAAGAAGTCTGAAGGTTTATTCTCAAGCGAGCCAACCTAAATTGAATTAACGCTATCATCGGCCATCACAGAATAATTGAATTAACCATCATCAATCAATTAATCATCATAAATCAATCATCTTAGTCGTATGTATTAGGAGAAGATAACAATAACGACGAGACTGAAAGTGCACAAATAACGCGAACTAAATTTTGTGTCATGGTACGATTTTTTGATAAATTGATTAAAATTATGTACAAAAAAAAAAAAAAAAAGATATTAGGCGATAACAAAATAAAAAAAGAATTCCAAAGAAAAAAAAAATTTTTATAATGTGTGGCTGATAAGTTGATGACAATTACAAAACTCTTATTATCTTTATCGTGTAATCACCTTATTTTATTGTTTATTTCTGATTTTTTTTGAAATAAAAGCACTCGTTTTTCGGTTTTGCTTTTGGCAACTTTTCCATTGCTCTTTTTTTTCTTTTGGTTTCTTTAAAAACAAACGATTAACATATATATATATATATATATGTATGTATGTTGTTTGTATAATTTATACAATACAAGCCATATTCACCATATTGTTATCATCACTTATCATCATAATTTTATATATAAAAGGGTGTGCGCATGATAAAGCAAAACCACATTCTTCTTGATTAATTCAACAAACATCATAAAAGTAGGTACTTGCGATTTCCCGTTGCTTTTTTTGTAATCTCGCCTGGTATCAAGACACAGTTTCTCTTTTCCTTCTTGCCCCTCCAGTTATTTATTTATTTCTTTCTTCATTTATTTCTTCATTTATTTTATTTACGCGCTTTTCGTTATCACAAGCAACTTTCTTTTCATTATTTAAATAACGCGAACCAGTTGACTAACCACCGATACCATCTCTCTCTTCCTCTTTTCAACCTCAAACCTTACCATCTTAATTCTACAAAAAAAGTCAAATTCAACCATAACATACTTCCATGCCGTATTCATCACCTGACTCAAAGGCTGCTCCTACTCTTCAAAAGCAGACCGCTATTCCTACCGGAAATTCGGATTATCCTGCAAAAATGACAATTGGCATTTCTAAAAAGAAGCAGCAGGATTTGGGTGCGAGCTCGTCTCTCTCTCATAGCATTTCTGCTGATGACTTGAACACTATTTCAACCGAAAAAACAAAACCTGTAGAAAAGAAATTGGAACCTAACATGCCTTCTAAGCGTGATTCTGAGCGAGATAATGCTTTGAAACAATTTAAGGATATCTTGTCCACTTCCCCCCAACTATCAGTCTCACCAAGGCGAAAGTCGGCTCCCGATTTGTTCTCCCGCAGACCACCGCTCAGGGTTGAATTGCCAAAGACCTCTGATGACCTACCATGTTTACTGAGGAAAAAAAGCGGCGAAATAGTAAAATCTTCACTGAAAAAGGGTAAATCGGAGCCCACCACTCCCACCTTTCCCAAGTTTGTTCATTTTAACGCCGAACTCGAACAGATCAAACTATTTGACGAAGCACAGAGACCACAGGCGATATCAGATGTAGAATCGGACGACGATTTCGATTCGACGTCGGATACTGACGATGAGGATGAAGAACGTACTCTCGTCATCAACATCGTAAACATGCCCCCGATGACCACCGAACGATTCTCAAAGATGTTGTTTGTCGAATCTATATTTTTGTCCAACGACAAGCGGAAACTTCAAGGTCGCGTTCAGGTTCAAAACATTGCTTTCGAAAAGACCGTCAAGATTCGATACACTTTTGATTCGTGGCAATCCGTCTCGGAGGCATCGGCCATGTACGCCGAAAAAGTAGCTAACAGAAATTTAACAAATAATTTTGACGTATTCATCTTTGCCATTGATTTGATCGACAACTCCAGAAACTCCATTGATGGAAAGGTCTTGTACTTTGCTGTTCAATACACTGTCAACGGCTGTGTCTATTGGGATAATAACGGTGGACAAAATTACCAAGTGAACTTCAAACGTCTCTCTTCGAAATCATCGGATGCAACCTCGAATAATAATAATAATAATAATAATAATAATAACAATAGCAGTAATAAGTCTCAATCTTCCTTTTCATCTAAATGGACGGCCCTGGAATCATGCTCCCCACCTTCGTCAAATGTGGCAAAACCTATAACAAAAAAGTCAAGCCGTTATGACATAGGTGTTTCGTTGTACGCCGCTCAAAACGCCCGTCGAACAATTTCCGTGTCCCCAGTAATTTCTTACAATCACGATAGCTTCCGTTCATTCTTTCCCAACAGTTGCATCGACGGCATGCCGGGTACAAGTGAATCTCCAATCGCGTTAGCTTCATCATGGGATGATTCAAAAGGAATGAAGTCTGAATCATTAAAAACGTCAACACCAATTGCCATTCCAACGAAACCCACCGTCGGATCGAATACCTATTATGATCTCGTCAATCAATATTACTTCTATCAAGGCTCCCCATACGGTGTCGCCTCACCATACGCTAGCTCACCTCCAGTGATGACATAAATCTTTTGGAATAACTGGAAATTTTTTCAAAATACGCCTCTCGGTTATTATTATTATCGTTACTACATCTCTTTTTTTTTTTTTTTTTTTATTCTTGTTTTAACGGTAGATTGTGTATAATTACATGATCAAGATATTCCCGCACAACTACTTGAGAAACAAGCAAAGAAAAAAAAAAAAATCATTTTCACAATTTCATGCTTATGAACCTTTCTAATTATCTAATTGAACAATCCTACATGGTTCCTATTACCTTCTACGCGTCGGAGTCCCATCCCTCATAATCAATATTCTTCTAGTAGTAATATATATATTCATATATATGAGAATAGAAATTTTTTTTATCATTTAGCAAGATTAAAAATCGAGAAAAACTGGTGAACCAACTAAAAAAAAGAAGAGCAGGCTGGAACGTGAAATGAGGAACCAGTGAAGCAAGATATCTTTACTCAAACGAGATCACACGTCGACAATGTATCGTTGTTTAGTTTCTTACATTTGTATATATCCTTTGCATTATTATTACACTCTCACTCACAACAATACAATGGCGATCAAAATGCAAAGTTTAAGGGGACAAGGAGATTGTATCTAGATAAAAAAAAAAACTTGATTCCTTTTTTTTGCATAGTTTCGTGCGAGTACATTATTTGTAAGATGTTTCTCTCGCTTCCATGTCAGTTCTTTTCTCAAATCATTTCTAAACCACCTTTTATTTTCTTATCCTAAATATCTTGAATGTAATTAAGATTTATTAACATTTTCGTCATCTTACTTCTTGGTAAGGGTGTACGATACATGAAAAAAAAAAAATTATGGTTATTGTGGACGATAATAATAAAGAGATTCTCATAAATCACAAATTACACTGTTTTTTTATGAATCAGATAGTGAAAGTGACAGTTATTTGCTGACTAATGGAAGTGTAACAAATGGTTTTTTTTTATCATTACAAAATCATTACAACATTTTAACAAATACGATACATATCGATCACTTATCTACCGATCGCCGGAGTTTGAATTAGCCTATATAAATAATTCGGTGATTGTACTCACTACTCGGATTTTTTTTTTCGTCCTACGTGGAATGAAATGTTTACATTATTTAAGACCGTAGCAAAAATGAATTTTTAATGTATCACACGATATTTCCAATACAGGAATTATTCACGAAACGAACCTGAATGGTTATTGCAGCGATCAGCAAGATCAAAGAAATCGTTTCAATGTCTTATTTCTAACCGAAATCATTCGATTTTTCAAAAATCTTAAACAAGTGTGATCAAAATAATTAAGTGTCTAATAGAAGACATTCGATCAAGAACCATTTAAGTTTCAAATTTACGCCCTCGCATTATTTATTACACATTTTAAATTTATTATTATTGTTTTATCCTCCGTCAGACCATCTGATAAATTTTTTTTTAAATAGCTCTTATGGTGAATAATTAAAAATCAATAATAACAATGATAAACAATAACAAATATCCTAAATATAGAGATACGTTGATGTCGTATAGAAATCAATAACTTTTCTTTAAAAAAAACAAATTCTACAATCGAAAAAAATATACAATAAATTTTTATTCTATCCGAATTTTTCAGCCATATTTACTATTTAATTCTTTTTAACAAAAAAATTATTATCATTATCGTCATCATCATCATTATTATTATTATTGTTGTTATTATTATTTTAATAATTAATTTTAACAAAAAATTTTACTATTTTATATTATATTATTTTAATATACAGTATATCAGTTTATTGAATTGTTTTATTTAATATAGATATTTTTTTTTAAAAAAAAAATCAATATGAAACTATATAATATTCTTTATATATGCAATATACAGTATATACTCTTAATATGAAAAGTGATAACAAAATAAATAAATAATGGTTTTTAAAATTTAAAGAAATTTTTTTTTTATTTAATGACAAAAGAAATTTTTTTTATAGTATTAAAAAAACTATATTTTGTTTTTTTAATATATTCATTTTTAATCTTAATAATATTTTTAATATGTTTTAAAAATAAGTTTTTTTATAAAAATATTTGTTTATTGTTATATATAAAACTCTAATTAAATTTTACTTTGATTTAAGTAAAGGTGTTTTTTTTTAAAAATTTAATGATTAAAATAATTTCACAAGTATCTAAGTAAATTCAAGTCAAATTTTTATAAATCCAATCTAAAACAAGAATATTATATGGTACTATTCATTCATTTATATATGATAATATATAATATTAAATAATTTACAAAAATATTAATATCTATTGTATATTAGAATTTATATTTTTATCTATTATTACTAATAGTTTGATTTTATATTAATTAAACTAATTTCAAATATAACAAATTTCTTATTAATTTAATTATAAATTTTTTTTATCATTTTATCATATTTTATTTGGCTATTATATTTTGAATAAATAAAATTTTATTTTTATTTTTTATTTTACTTATATATATTTAATTTAATATTATTTTAATTAAAAAATTTATTAAAAAAAAAAAACTCTCTCCTGATCGCGTCCGTTTTGTTAAAAATTTTCCTTTTATGGTAATTTTAAGCAAGAA